AGAAGCAGGTGGCTATTGCAATCTGGAAGCTGGCAACTCCAGACAGCTACCGGTCAGTCGCAAACCAGTTTGGAGTGGGGAAGTCGACCGTTGGAATCGTGTTGATGCCAGTTTGCAAGGCCATTAATCGCATCCTACTCAGAAGAACCGTGACTCTGGGTAACGTGCAGGAAATAGTGGATGGCTTTGCACAAATGGGGTTCCCTAACTGTGGAGGGGCGATAGATGGGACGCACATTCCTATTCTGGCACCACCCCACGTAGGATCCGAGTAGGTTAATCGGAAGGGGTATTTCTCTATGGTTCTCCAGGCGCTTGTGGATCACTGTGGGCGTTTCATTGACATTAACACAGGCTGACCCGGAAAGGTGCATGACGCACGCATCTTTCGGAACACTTGGCTGTTCAGGAAGATGCAGGCCAGGACTTTTTTCCCCAGAGAGGAAGATTACGGTAGGGGAAGTTGAAATGCCCATTGTGATCCTTGGAGATCCCGCTTACCCGTTAATGCCGTGGCTCATGAAACCCTACACAGGGAGCCTTGACAGCAGCAAGGAACGGTTCAACTACAGGCTGAGCCGGTGCCGAATGACTGTGGAGTGTGCCTTTGGCCGTTTAAAGGCCTGCTGGCGATCTCTGTATGGGAAGCTGGACTTGGCCAAAAGCAGCAACCCCGCGGTTATATCCGCGTGCTGTGCCCTCCATAATATTTGTGAAGGGAGGGGTGAAAGCTTCACTTAGACATGGACCTCCGAGGTTCAACACCTGGAGGCTGAATTTGCACAGCCAGAGAGCAGGGCTATTACAGGGGCCCAGCGCGGGGCTGCCAGGATTAGGGATGCCTTGAGGGAGCAATTTGAGTCTGAAAACCAGCAGTGATATCTGGTGCCTTGCACGGGAGTGAAGTGCAGTAGTTCCAATCTTTAGGAATCAGTATCTGCTTAGCAGACAAGCAGACTTGCAGTGCCTGTTTATTTCCTGGGCTAAGGAGTCTTTTACTTTATGCAGTAATAAAGAATGTTTTCAAAGCCAAAGAATCCATTTATTGAAAAGAAAAAAATTATTTATTGAAAAGAAACAAGGGTGTGGAGTGGGGAACAGTACAATCACAGATTTGTGTATGTCCTGTCTGGTGTGCTGTGCAGTGAGTGCTGCACTTCAAGGCAGCTATACTGCATGGTGATGGGGGTTGAGTGCAGAGGGTAAGGGTCGTGGTTTTCAGGGTTGGGTGGTGAAGATACTGGTGTTGGAGGCAGCGGGTTGTGTGAAGAACATGGAAGTTGGGGAAAGTGGGTTGGAGGTGACAGTGGGGCACAACGGAAAGAGTTTTGGGACAAGGGCAGTAAGGAGGGGTGGCGTTTGCGTTACTGCTCCTCTTTCTGCATGGCTACCAGCTCCTGGATAGCATCTGCTTGGCGCTCCAGGATGCTGATGGGCCTATCAGTGCTTTGCTGCCGGTGTGTGGTGCTTTGCTGCGTTTTCCTGGCGGATCCTGCTTTCTCTCTCCCTCCAGTCCTGTGCCTTCTCATTCTCTTTAATAGATTGCCGCATCACTTCTTGCAGCATGTCGTCTTTGCTTTTTCGCGGTCTCTTCCTGAGTCTTTGCAGTCTCTGAGCAGGCAATAAGAGGGACGGCTGAGGTCTCAAGGTTGATGCAGCTGTATAGGCAAAATGCAACATTTAACAAAGGCAGCATTGTTTATACCAGACAGAGTAATGCTTCCCCCAGCACTTAAGGAGTAGAAAACACACAGGGTCTACACAATAGCATAATTTTCCCATCCGAAACAGAGCACACATATCCCACGGGAGCCTCAAAATGGTGAATAATGGGGGCTGATTGTTTCAGGGCTGTACTGTCCTCTGGGTTTCTGTGCCTTGGGGAGATCCAACAGCTTCAGGGGGCACCTACACTGAACACTGTCCCAACATTTTCCACAGGAGTTCATCCTGGATGATATCTCGCTGCTGAGGGTAACCTGGGAAGCAAGGGAGGGTCTTCTACTGCAATGCGGCTTCCGCCCTGGCCCCTATGCAGCTTGCCTGTGTGCAGCAATGGTCCCCCCGCCCCTCGCGGCACAGTGGCGCGGACACATTAGCCTGGGTGGGACAAGGACCAGGGTGGCTCTCCCTATAAACCTGCGCAAGCACATTGCACACGTTCTGGATGAGACATTTGAGGAGATTACCGAGGCCGATTACCGTGATGTGATAAACCACATCAATGCACTATTCCGAATCTAGGCATGCATGCCTAACCCTCCTCTCCCAAAGAGCCCGCACTGAAAAAATTCCTTCGACAAAAAAAAAAAAAAACGACTTACCGGGAACCAGCTCTTCTGTTTGCCCTCCACCAAGTACCAGCCGCTACGACTGGCTACCTTCCTCTTGGCTCGAGAAGAGCTCCTGGCTGCATGGCTCCAGGGATTCCGGGGTGTCTCCATCCGGCCCACCACCATCACTCCCGTTTTCCTCCTTCTCCTCCTCCTCTCCCCCCCACACCGGCTCTGAAGTGTCCATGGTGGTGCTCGGAGTGGAGGTGGTTAACCCCAAGTATCGCATCCAGCTCCTTGTAGAATCTGCAGGTCGTGGGGGGAGCACCTGAGCAGCCATTTGCGTCGCGGGCTTTGTGGTAGGCACTCCGCAGCTCCTTGACTTTAATCCTGCACTGCAGGGCGTCCCAGTCATGGCCCCTTTCCATCATGTCCTTTGATACCTTCCCGAAGGTATCGTAATTCCTACGGCTGGAGCGCAGCTGGACTGGACAGCTTCCTCCCCCCAAACACTGATGAGGTCCAGCAACTCGCCATTGCTTCATGCTGGGGCTCACTTGGCGCGTGGAGGCATGGTCACCTGGAAAGATTCGCTGATAGCACTCCACGCCACGCTGGGCTGAGCAAACAGGAAGGTGATTTTTAAAATTCCTGGGGAATGTACAGGGTCGGTCACATGGTTGGTTACCTGAGGCCAGGGCAGTAGAGTTTGAACTGATGACCAGAGTGGCTGGAACAGGCATTGTGGGATACTGCCGAATAATTCTGGAGGCCATTCACAGCGCATTGGGCGGCCACACTGGCGCCACAGCGCTGCAGCGGCAGCGCTGTACTTGCTATTCCTCTCGGAGAGGTGGAGTACATGAAGCACTGCAACCAAGGAGATACAGCGCTGCAAATACCTTGCCAGTGTGGACGGGGAGTGAGTTACAGCGCTGGGGGCGGCTTTACAGCGCTGCAACTCACAAGTGTAGCCAAGGCCTAAGTGAATTAAAAGCAAAGGTTTTTCTCACCACATGCTTTTTTGCGGTCTTTTACTGGCTGAACACCTCTTCAGTCAGGATTCCCCCTCTCCTGTACTTCAGGAGTTGTTGACACCATGAACAGAGAGAAAGGGAGGAGTATCCTAAGGCGTTGTCCTCTTTTATAATCTAATCTCTTGTCCTAGAAGCATCTCCAGCTGTTTCACAAAACCTGTTTCCAGCTGAGTCATGAGTGACGGAAAGTCTGTTTGGAGGGAACTTTAAACTGTTTCTTTGTTCAAGATGTAGGTTCTCTCACTTACACCCTGTCTCCTGCTAAAGAATGGCCATTTAACTAGTTGATCTCACTGAAACCTTGCTGGGGTGTTGGCTAGCCTTTCTGTCTCTGAGGAATTGGTCTGTGGGCACTCCCCAAAATTACAACATACTTCAGTAACATTATGCAATAAAATCTTATAACATTACACGGTATTGCCACACACATTTTAACAAGACAATAATATTCAACAGATTATGAGTTTTCAAATGATACCTCACAAGGCATACTTTGTACAAAACTTATTATAATCCTGTAAAAGAATAAACATAGGGGTACAGACTGTCACAGCAGGACATTAGGAAAGAGGAAGGAAGGAAAGAATGAAGCCTTCTCTTGCCTCTCCCTCTGGCTACCCCCTGATGGCTGAGTATTCTACCCACAGCTCCCAGGAGGGAGAGCAATTATTTTTCATTTGCCATTCAGGTGTCAGCATATTAAACTCCATTGGGAGGATGAGAAGGAGTGTTGTTATGCTGCCAGATTTTAATTGGTGGCATTAACAGAGGACAGTGGCTCAATGCGACTCCTTTTTCTCCTCTTTCAATGTTCCAATTGTCCCCAAAATCAATAGAGTTCTGGCTACAGATGGTTAGAGCCTCCCCAGCTTGGTGAAAATGAGCGAGTAAGTGAGGGTGGGAGAGAGCAAGCAACGGAGGGAGAGGGGATGGAGTGAGTGGGGTGGGGCCTCGGAGAAGGGGCAGGGCCCGGGTGTTCAGTTTTGCATGATTAGAAAGTTGCAATCTTTAATTCACAGAGGACACCGCATCAAGGGAGGAATGCAAGTACAGGTAATTTTTCAAAGCCATTAGTTGTCTTAGTACTTAGTCATGTCAGGTAAGTTTTTGATCTCTGCATGAGATTAATGACTAGAAGTGGTCTCGAATTTGGTTTTATGTTTCATACAAAAATGTGGACCAACGGTTGTCAATAAGCCCACCCAAAACAAGCATGATTGGTCAAAAAACACAAGAAATAATCGGCAGCAGAAATTTGCATCTAAACGTCAAGATGCTGGGCAGGGATTGAGCAGACAAACACTGTGGAGCACAGAACAGTCCAAGAAACAAGAAAAAAAAAAAAAAAAAACAGACCTAGAGACAAGTGGAAAAAACACTTACATGTTTTTACTGTGGAGGCCTCCGGTTCATATATAGAAATGGCCTTAAACGGCATAGCTTTTAACATACAATCTCGGGTGGTATGACTGCTATGGTAATTAATCGCTCAGAAAAATTTGAGAGAAGATATTTAAGTAACTAGACTTAAAAGAATCAATATTTCTATTTCACATTCTATTTTTCAAACCACATACACTCAAAACATTTCAATGTTCCTTTTTTCGTTTTGAAAGACTATAGATCTCTACAGACTGGGGAAAAAAAACATTTATAGTTCAAATAAAATAATAATTTGAAAGGAACTTACATTTTGAGCTTTGTTGACTACACCATACTAGGTTCCCTAGCGGTGAGTCCCTTCATATCTTGCAGAAACCAGCACTGATATCTACAAACTCTTCAATGCATGTAAACATCTGATATGCTGCTTTCTTGTTGTCAGGAAACCATATTGTTGAACATACGAATCAGGCATCAGTTGGTGCGGGTGCACTTTCTTTATAAAGAGAAATCATCAAAATACAAAATAAAATACTGTATATAATTTTCCAACAATCTAATAACATTGAGCAAATTTAAAGACCGGATAATATAACTTCTTTTATAGCCACATATTCTAACATTTACTGACAATTACCCTGGCACCTGTGCAATAAGCTCAGTCAGATTTAACTCACTTTTCTAAAGGACAAAGATAACTTTGAATTCAGCTAAGAATCTCTAGTTACTAATTTAGAAAAAACTGAATTGCATTAGACATAGGCATAATTCACCAACCATACCTGTAAAAGCAGAACAGAGTTCAAACTAGAAATAAGTTTTTTTCATTTGGTTCTTATGTCCTCATCGTAGCTCTTATGCTGTCATGAAAGTGTGATGGTCAGGAAGAGATCCAGCTCACCATGTGGGGAATTAAAAACAGGGAAACTGTGGTGCACAGAAATCAGAATATATCCCTTACAGCCAGAGTGATCAAGCTTTTTTAGGCTTTGACTAGATGAGGAAAATAATGCTTTTTTCAGTCAAGTTAGCTCAACAGTCCTAATGTGTCTACATTAGTCTTAAGTGGGGTTTTCAATTGAGTTAAATTAGCTCAATAGAGCTAACTTAACTAATTGAAAACCCCATTTAACACTAATGGAGACATTTTGGCCTAGGGCTAAAACTGAACCTCCTAGACTGAGGCCTTAGCTACACTTGAGAGTTACAGCGCAATAAAGCCACCCACAGCACTGTAACTCACTCCCCATCCTAGGGTGACCAGATGTCCTGATTTTATAGGGACAGTCCCGATATTTGGGGCTTTTTCTTGTATAGGCACCTATTACCCCCCACCCCCGTCCCGATTTTTCACATTTGCTATCCGGTCACCCTACCCCATCCACACTGGCAAGGCACGTACAGCGCTGTATCTCCACGGCTACAGCGCTGCTTGTACTCCACCTCCCCGAGAGGAATAAAGAGTATTGCGCTGCCGCTGCTGCGCTGCGGCGCCAGTGTGGTCACCGAATGCGCTCTGATTGGCCTCCAGAAGGATTTGGCAGTATCCCACAATGCCTGGTCTAGCCACTCTGCTCATCAGTTCGAACTCTACTGCCCTGGCCTCAAGTGATTTTTAAAAATCCCCTTCCTGTTTGCTCAGCCAGGTGTGGAGTGCTATCAGTGAATCTTTCCAGGTGACCATGCCTCCACGCGCCAAACGAGCCCCAGCATGGAGTAATGGCGAGTTGCTGGACCTCATCAGTGTTTGGGGGGAGGAAGCTGTCCAGTCCCAGCTGTGCTCCAGCCGTAGGAATTACGACACCTTTGGGCAGATATCAAGGGCCATGACCGGGACGCACTGCAGTGCAGGATTAAAGTGAAGGAGCTGCGGAATGCCTACCACAAAGCCCGCGAGGCAAACCGCCACTCCGGTGCTGCCCCCACGACCTGCCATTTCTACAAAGAGCTGGACGCGATACTTGGGGGTGACCCCACCTCCACTCTGAACACCACCATGGACACTTCAGAGCTGAGGGAGGAGGAGGAAGAAGAGGAAAGCGGGAGTGAGGGTGCTGGGGAAGGGGGGAGACACCCCGGAATCCCTGGAGGCATGCAGCCAGGAGCTCTTCTCAAGCCAGGAGGAAGGTAGCCAGTCGCAGCGGCCGGTACTTGGTGGAGGACAAACAGAAGAGCAGGTTCCTGGTAAGCAGTCTTTTTTTTTTTTCCGGGAAGTTTTTTTTTCGGGAAGGAATTCTTTTGGTGCGGGCTCTTTGGGAGAGGAGGGTTAGGGCTGCATGCATGCCTAGATGTGGAATAGTGCATTGATGTGGTTTATCACATCGCAGTAATCAACCTCGGTAATCTCTTCAAAAGTCTCATCCAGAATGTGGG